CTCCCTCCCTCCCTCCCTCTCTCCCTTCCTCTCTCTCTCTTTTTCCGTCCACCTCATGTCTTGGCCTCTGGACCATCTCAGAACAACATACAATTTGCGCACTGTGGAGGGACTCAAACTTTGAAGGGGATGACTCACTCATCACCCAGTTAAACTAATAACATCCAAATCTTCCAAGCTCACTCTTGGGAGGGATTAGCCAGGTGGCCAGGGGTCCAATAGCTGGGCTTCCTCTCAGCCTCCATTTGGCCTCACTGACCCCTAACCCTCAGGCAGTGAAGCAGGCTCTGGCTGACTCAGTGGTGGTGGGGGCAGCCTTGAGCTAATTGGGAAGACATTTCATTGCCCAGTGAAACCAGCTCCTTCCAGGAAGGGGAGGGGAGTGGAAAGAGGATCCCTCTTTCCCTCTTGGCTGGCCAACACTCCTACCCTGACTGGTGCCTCTTATCCATACCTCCTCCCTCTGCTGCCTCCTAGCCATCCCTTGTGAGGGATAGGGGAACACAGTGCCAACATAGTGGCCCTTCTCACTTTTTGCTCCCAGGAACATTCACCATGAGTCCCCTGTGGCTACTCACCTTGATGCTGGCCCTGAGCCAGGCCCTGCCCTTTGAGCAGAAGGGCTTCTGGGACTTCACCTTGGATGATGGGCTGCTCGTGATGAATGATGAGGAGGCTTCAGGCTCAGACACCACCTCAGGTGTCCCCGACATGGACTCTCTTACACCTACCTTCAGTGCCATGTGTCCTTTCGGCTGCCACTGCCACCTGCGGGTTGTTCAGTGCTCTGACTTGGGTGAGTCGCTAGGCAGTTTAATGTGAGAGTGTTCAGAGAGGCATAGGCCCTGCCTGGGAGGCCCTACTAAAGGGGATACATGGGCTATCTTGTGAGAGGGATGTAGAATGGTGTGGGTGGTAATGTTATGAGTCACCACAGACTGAGGTGTTAAGGTATGAATGTTTGAGGGTGTCCAGTGTCTGGCATGTGAAAAGCAAGTAGAATGTGCAAGCTCTGGAGCTGGTATTCATTAGCTCAGAGTCCCTGCATTTGTACTAGTGTCTTTCTGTGCGTCCATATGTATGTGTGTGCCCACCACTGTGACAGCAGACTGGATGAGCCAGGCTTATGCTGGTGATGGTGATGATCCCCAGGTCTGAAGACTGTGCCTAAGGAGATCTCACCTGACACCACACTGCTAGACCTGCAAAATAATGATATCTCTGAGATCCACAAGGATGACTTCAAAGGCCTCCAGCACCTCTATGTAAGCCTCCTCCTGCCCCTGCCATTTCTGAGGAGCTGGGAAGAGTTTGATGTTTCTTTGGCTGGGAGAAGGGGTGCTCACAAATGGGGCTGGGAAGAGGGGCTGGGAGCCAATGGAGTTGAGGTAAGTCTGGGGCTGGCTGGATTGGGAACACCCTAGACCATGGATTATGAGTATGGGTGCAAGATAAAAATCCCTCAGGTCAGTTCCCTTTTTGACTGAAAACTTTGCATTTTATTGGTTCCTCTGAGCAACACAGAAAAGAGTAGATCCCATTGTAGCTCTTGGAGAAACTGACTAGCCAAGTATGCTAGGCAGTGATGGCACTCCCAGGGCAGCTTGGAGCTAACCTCAGCTCCTTGCTATGCACTCTGCTCACAAACACAGACTGACCTCTATGAGACCAAACAGGTTCAGATGTCTCAAGTGCCATTAGTAGTAAGTTCAGGAGGCAGAGGAAGAGGGGAGGTGGAGTCAGGGGCTGAGATACTCACCTTGGTCCCCTGCCCTGCCTCAGGCCCTGGTCCTGGTAAACAATAAGATCTCCAAGATCCATGAGAAGGCCTTTAGCCCTCTGCGGAAGCTGCAGAAACTCTACATCTCCAAGAACCACCTGGTGGAGATACCTCCCAACCTGCCCAGCTCCCTGGTGGAGCTACGCATCCATGACAACCGTATCCGAAAAGTGCCCAAGGGCGTGTTCAGCGGGCTCCGGAACATGAACTGCATTGGTGAGAGTAGTCTGTATCTTGGCCTATAAAGGAGCCAGGTAGAGGAGATCTCTTCCAACCAGGGCAGATGGGTCCTGGGGACTGTCCTGTGCAGTCATGGAGAAGCCCTGTGTGCCTCAGAATGTTCCAGAAGCTTGTTTTAGGACATGATGAAGGAGACTGGGGCAGCTTTAAAGGCTCAGTTCAAGAAAGAGTCTCAAAAATAGTCTAAAAGAAGATCACTGTGTTTCTTGACAAAACCCCAATTTGAGTAATCATTGTGGGTAAAGGGAGGGTACAGGACACAGGAAGACTGGGCTGGTAGAGAGAATGGAGAAGGGCAGTGGACCACCACAGCAGCAGGAGTTGGATAGCCTTCTGGAGGACCTGACTTTATCTTTGGATCTCCACACTTTCCTCTTGCTTCCCAGCTCCCAGAGGCCAAGAACAGTGCCAGAGTCATCTTGAACAGCTGGAGTTTTCAGTTAGTTAGCAGGGCAAATTCTTAAACTGCTTTCTAGAGGAAGTGGGAAGAGCCAGTGATCAGTAGATCCCCAGTCCAGAAAAGAACAGGCTCTGATGGTATGTGGGGTGCCACTGATTGGCTCCAGGCTGACAGGGCTTCTCTCCTAGAGATGGGTGGGAATCCCCTGGAGAACAGTGGCTTTGAACCAGGAGCCTTTGATGGCCTGAAGCTCAACTACCTGCGCATCTCAGAGGCCAAGCTAACTGGTATCCCCAAAGGTAGGAAAATGTCAATACCTGACCTCCAGAAGCATTGAAGGGGGTTTGCCCAGTGTACTTGATCAGGACTCTCTTCCTGAAGCAGAGAGTGGACCTTCTACTTGCCCCAGACCCTGAACTTACCTTCCAGTATGCTCTCTTCTGAGTAGATCTCCCTGAGACCCTGAATGAACTTCACCTGGACCACAACAAAATCCAGGCTATTGAGCTGGAGGACCTACTTCGTTACTCCAAGCTGTACAGGTGAGGTTGGGGCAGTCCTTGGGAGCTGCAGGGTTCCATCAGCAAACAGGGCAGATCATAGGGTGGCACCCAAGACCCTGTGCTCTATTCCACAGTCCTCCTCCTCTCCAGCCTCTGATGACTTCTAAATTTACTTATCTTCAGGCTAGGCTTAGGCCACAACCAGATCCGGATGATTGAGAATGGGAGCCTGAGTTTTCTGCCTACCCTGCGGGAACTCCACTTGGACAACAACAAACTGTCCCGGGTGCCTGCTGGCCTTCCAGACCTCAAGCTCCTCCAGGTGAGAGCTGGCTTTCCAAGACTGGGTAGGGTCATGGCACCAGCCTCTGAACTGCCTGGCTCTCCTGACCCCCTTTTTTACAGGGGCCCAGGGTAGACAGCATAACAGGACCTAGATTACTCTCTGGGTCCCATGTCCTCATCCAGACCTCACTGGAACAGTGCCCACTCTCTGTTTGCACTGAGGCAGTGCTAACTCCCATCTGTGGGATCTCTTCACAAGGGGAGTCTCCTTCCCTGACTTAGCCTCCAGCCACATGGGCAAACTATGTCTTTCCCAACCCTGTTCTGGACCTCAATTTTTATCTCAGCTCCATTCACAATGGTGGAAAGCACTTTCATCCTCCCCTAGGGCAACACAACCCATGCCAGGCTAAGAGCACCCTCTAGTGGCTGGCGACATTAGTACCACCAGTGAGCTCCTAACCTAAGGTACCATTTTTCCTACATAGATATCCTGTCAGGATCAATGTTTGTTTCCTACAGCAGCCTCATTCTACCAAACACAACCCCCACCTCACCCATCCCAACTCACCACTCTCTGTATACCTCACCCGAGCCCCTCATCTTGCCCTGGGTTCAGTCATACACCAGCACCCTAATCACAGCCAACACCCACTAACATACTCAGGTCCTTGTCCTCTTCTCAATCATGGGAAAAATCACCAACTGGCCATCAAAGGGTGACCATGAAGTGATACTAGGAAGTGACTGATGGAGTCAAATATGGAGGCAGGCCTGACCCCTCTTACATCTGCCCTCCAACTTGCCTACAACCTACAACATCTACCTAGGCTGGAACAGACTAGGAAGGGTGGTCTGTGATACTGAGCCCTGATGAAAAGCTCCAGCCACATCCCTTCTGCCCCTAGGTGGTCTACCTGCACTCCAACAACATCACCAAGGTGGGCATCAACGACTTCTGCCCCATGGGCTTCGGAGTCAAGAGGGCCTACTATAACGGCATCAGCCTCTTCAACAACCCTGTGCCCTACTGGGAAGTGCAGCCAGCCACCTTCCGCTGCGTCACTGACCGCCTGGCCATCCAATTTGGAAATTATAAGAAGTAGAAGCAATGGTAACCACAATGGCGGCCTTGCTGAAAGTCTCTGAGGAACATAGCCAGACATTCCACAGGGAAAGGGGAAGCAAAGAAGCAAAGCCCCCAACACACACCTTTGTTCCCCAGCATTAACTCACTGCCCTACCACAGCCTCCCCCTGGCCCCCAAGCATGCACATATGCATATGGCCTGGTCCTCTCACCCATTCCTCTCAGCTTTTGAGATTTAACACTCACCTTCCGTGTCCACTCAAAGACTCCCTATAAATCTTTCTTCTTGTCCATTCTGACACCCAGATGTCTGTGGTAGGAGGGGCTAGCAAATGTGGACACAGCACTCTACCACAGCTACTGTTCTATCCAGGCATGTGTTCCTCCTCTTTCTCACCCATGTTTGTCTTCTAGCTCTCTTGGACCCTACCTGCTGCCCTTGGCCTCTGGTGACCCCAAGTTCATTACCTGTCCATCCCAGACATCACCTGGCTCTACTAACTCCTGGATAAGTCCTTCTCTCCAACCTTGTTATCTTCCTTCTAGGGTGGTAGATATCTCCCCTGCCATCTCTCTGGACCTGGTTCATATCTCTCTATCTCTGAATCTCTCTGCATATGTCTCTGTCTCTCTGCCTCTGTCTGCATCTCTCTGTCTCTGTCTCTGTCTGTCTATGTCTCTCTGTCTCTGTCTCTCTCTATCACACAGAGAGAGACAGAGACAGAGAGATACACACACAGAGAGAGACCATCCCCTGGCTGCTTTGTGCTTCATAGGTCTCTGGCCAGTCCCTGCACAAACAAAACTGGGGACAACTCTCTCCCTGATTGCCCTGCCAAGCACTTGATCCCCAACCCTGGAGGAGGCAAAAGGTGAGGCCCAGAATCCTGTCCACATTGTCCAGGAAGAGGGCCTCTCTGCTGTCAAGATGAGGAGCAGGAAGCTTCCTAGCCCCTGGAGAGGCTCAGCAGACCACCAGAGCCCCCCAGAACCAGTCTTCATTAGCCCATGCCCTCTCTACAATATGGCTAGGTCCATCTCCCTCACCCCTGGGTCCCTGCTGTAATAGGGGTTGGTGAGCAGTTGCCCCCAGCTGGAGGGAGTGCCGCTTCTAAGGTCAGTTGTCTTTCAATTAAAGAAACACTGTGCAATACGACTCTGTGTACTACTTCTCTGGGACATCAATGGGCATCAAGAGGAGAGCAGAGGTGAAGCAAGAGACCTCCTCAGGCACCAACATTCTGCCTTTCCATGTCCCCTTCCAGTCCTTGCTCTCAGAAGAAGGCCCTCCTCACCCTCAGGTTCAGAGCTATAAAAGCACACACTAAGTGACCAGACATAAGGCCCAGGTCTTGTCTGTTTTTCCCATCCTTTCTTGGTCCTTCCATTGCCCCAGCTGTTCTTAATCTGAACCCATAAAGCAGGCCACACCTGAGGTAACATCTGCCCTCCCAGAGTGGAGCATTTGTCAAGCACCTTCCGGCTATGGGATACCAAGCTAGGTCCCACTGCCTTCAGGAAGGGAACTTCAATACCCCAGCAGAGTCCTGCCTGCCTGTCTAGATGGAATTAGGGGAACAGAGTAATTCCAGAACCCTGTTTCAGCCTGGAAAGTGACTAGTACCTATGTTAGCACTAGGAAATGGCAGAGGGGAGAAGCCCTTGGTATCAGGCAGTATATTGGTGCAGCTACTTGGGCCAGCTTGGCTTGCTTTCCCACACAGCACCCCACAGGTCCCTGAGAACTGGAAGCAGGCTGCAGCTGGATCCTGAGAGACATTCTAGTTTGGGTCCAGGGAAGAATGACCTGAAAAGAAGCAGACCCTCTGGGGTCTGAAGTGGGCCCAGGCTAAGCACAAGGCTTCCTGCTCAGGTAATGGGAACTGGGGCTTCCCTATGCAGTGACAGCCAGCCAGCGAAAATAGAGCAGCCAAGGCCAGTGTGAGTTGACAGACCACAAGGGGTTCACCTAGAGGCATTGCTTGTGGCTTCTTACACACAGCCATACCCTTATGCCTGACCTGGCAACCAAGGCACCCAGTGTGCCCAGGTTTCTCCTTTTGGGGATGGGAGGCACCACTCAGTGTGGTGGCCCAGAGATAGAATGTCACCCAGCAGCATCATAGCACTATTCTGGGGCATGTGCTCCACAGCCTGGCAATCTCTGCTGAGCTGGGCAGACACAGGGCAAGGGCACTGGTCCAGGGCCAGGAGTCAGGTCCTCAGTGCAGTCCCCATGCTGGTAGGAAGGAGGGGCAGGCAGCAATGAGCCCTGGTAGAGACAGAAAGATGAAGCCTTCAGTGTGTTTCTCTAGGGTGTGTTCTGGGGGCAGGATTCACCTCAACAAGTCTTCCATAGCCCCACTGCATCTGTTTTCCCTTCCTGCCTCTCTCCCTTGCTATTCACCTTTCTTTTCATTTCAGGCTTTCTCTCATTTCAAGAAAGTTTACAAGGCTATTCTCTGCAGGTCTCAAATCAGGGACCCAGTAGGTCAGTGCCACCACCAGCAGCTCAGAAGACAAATGTTGCATAGGTTTTAAGTTCAGAGAAAGGATTCCACAGACAGCTCCACATTGTCTAGACCAAAGGCTGTAAGGCCCCAGACAGGAGCCCATGAGGCTTGTAGGTAATGGTTAAAGGTAGACTCCATCTTCATAGCAGCTGGTCTTGGCCACTGGCATAAATTCCTCTGCCTTGGGACTGGAGAGATGGCTAGGCAGCTAAGAGCATTTGCTGCTCTTGCAGAGAACCCTGGTTTGGTTCCCAGTACCCACTTTGGGTATCTTACAACCAAGAGATCCAAATCCCCTCTTCTAGGACCAAATGCCCTTTTGTATGGGCACCAGGCTTGCACGTGGTACATATACATACACTTGGGCACACACACATACCCATAAGGTAAAAATAAATAAATCTTACATTATATGTTTAAATTCTTCAATCTCACTCTACTATTGAGTGCATTTCAAATTATTAGATAATAATGAACTGAAAAAAATCACAGTGAAAGAGGGTGTGGAGGTGCACTCTCTAATCCTAGCACTTGGGAGGTAGAGAATCAGGAGTTCATGGATGAGTTTAGCTACATGAAAATCAGTCTTAAAAAAATCCAAAATTACATTAAAATAGTCCCTCAGACCCAGCAGTCCTCTACCTTCATTTTCACTGGGTTGTAAAGTAGGGTTATATTCTAGGCACTGGCTTTGGTCATTGGAAGCACCATGGTGGTGATTATGCAGAGCATAGAAGACAAGTTCCAGCCCAACATTTGTTTGAGTATGAGTTCCTGGACTTTGGGACAGATTGAATGAGGAGTAAAAGGAAGAGTACATTGCAGGGTCATGGCACCAAAACAACCTGATGTGCTGAGTGGAGATCAATGTGGGAAGGGGAAAAGGGCTGTGAACACCAGAGCTACCAAGGGTAGTGGGCATGTTCATATGTGGCTCAAAGCAGAGGCCAGCTGGGCAGCCATTAAACTGGTGAACACTCACATGTGCACATATGAACACACTGAGACAGAAATACGTAGATGCACACATGAGCATACAAGCATTGTGCATGAGCATGCATGAATATGTGCAAACATACACAAACACACATGTACAGAGAGAAACACACATGCACACAGACACAAATTAAGACATACACAAGTACACACAAATATATACACAAGCACATATACACATACAAGTCTATGTATGAAGACAGCAGCACATGTGCATCATATGCATAAAAACTCAGGCAAGCACACACTAATGATATGCAATGTATGCAGATATGTGCACATGAACATATATAAAACAAACATATAGCTACATAGGCATGCCCATTCATGCACTGCATAGAGAGAAACACACAAATAGACACATGAGCATGTAGAAGTACATACACAGATTACATAGTAATGTGTGTCATTGGGAACAGCTGTTCTATGAACAAAGTAGCTGCCAAGGAGTGGCCTTTGAGAGGCATGGGGCTAGAATAACAAATTTTTTGAACACTAACTACAGATCAGGTGCCTTTGCATTCAGTGGGTCCCAGCTGGAGCCTAAGCCAAATCCACTGCTTAGGTTTAAACAAGTCAGATCTTGTAGAAGAGGCAGTTGGCCAGGTATCCTGGACCAGGGCCTAGATGGAAACAGGACCCCTGAGGAGAAAATCTCTCCTTGAAGGACCTGAGCAAAGGAGGTGAAGGACCTGGAGTGGGGGCAGCAGGGCTGCTCTGAAAAGTGTGGACCCAGGCTTTTCCCATGGTTTCCAGGTTCTTCTAGGCACTCTGGGATCTCTTGGAAAAACAGAGACCATAGGAAGAGGTAAAGATTCTATTCTGGACACATGAGGTAGAGCCCTTGTTTCCCCCTGGCTTCTGAGGACACACATACCTTGGGGACCCAGAGAATCCAAGGTAGCCTGATGCTGAATGGCCCTAGTGCCCACTACACAAGGGGTGGCTAGGGAAGAGGGTAGTGCCCTAGATAGTGAGCTGTCCTTGCTCAAGAGGGGTGGTGTTTAAAGAGTCTTTGTGCATGTATGTCTGTATGCAAAACACACACACTAAAAAAAATAAAAATAAAAATAAATAATAGCTGACCAGAGCTTTCTAAAAGTCCCAAGTGTGGGATCTATTGAGGCTAAGCAGGCCGGGGGGCTAAGCAGGCTGGGAGGTGGCAGGTATGCAGTGGACAACCCTTGGAGAGTTGGGGTTTATATGAGTATCCTGGGACTTCTGTGACAAATTATTGAAGCTGACAAAAACAGTATAATTTATTCTTTTGTGTTTCATGGGTCATGTTGGCATGATGGTTCTCCTTGATAAGGTCTAGAAGGACACATTATACCTCTTGCAGCTCCTGGTGACTCCTTGTCTTGTGGCTATTTCATAAGCCTCTGTTGTCCATGGTCTCCTGTATATGCATTGGACATTTCTCTCTGCCTCTATCTTAGAAGGACACTATCATTGCACACAGGGCCTCCCTGAAGCACCAGAGAGCATCTCCTCAGCTCCCCATCCTTCACTTAGTCACATTTGCAATGACCCTATTTTCAAATAAAGCCCCTTCTAGCAGTGGCAATCAGCCAGAATGAGTCTTTGGGTTGCTGTCAACCTGCTCCAGGGATGCAGATGGATGTTGATCCTGGAGCCTTGGAGAAGAGCTGTGGTGTCAGCCTGGAAAGTGTAGAGATGAAAGGGGGATTGGTCAAGGCATCTGGGCCTGACCAGGGTATCTGGGCCTGACCAAGAAACTGCTGTCACAGAGGAGGTTGTGACAGCCACACCAAGTGGCAGATGGGAAATTGAACAGGCAGGGGACATGGCCTAGTGGCCAAGGGAAGCAAGGTGGGAAGCCACAGGGTCCATAGAGAGAGGGTGACTGGTGGTAGTGACAGAGTGGACTGAAGACTCAGGAAAATGAGAAGGGCTGGACACAAGGAGACCAGCCTGGAAGGTGTCCAGCTGGCTGCTTCATGCAAATTTCTTAGCCTAAGGTGACCTTTTTTGAGGTTGCCCAGGAGTAGCCATGAACAGCACAGGAGAGGACCAAGATTAGGTCCTGGAGTGACAGGTTCAGACACAGTAGGGTAAGGATAGGACCAAGAAGAAAGAAGGAAAAGGACAGGGAGGGAGCAGAGAGTCAGCCTAGTGACTGTCCCCATCGTGGACATCTCTGGATCTGGCTCCCTAAGGATTTCCAATGCAGGGAACTGGGACAGGGCTTTGTGTAAGAACTTTCTAGCAAAGGTCACTAATAGCTGGTTCCTCCCTCTTCTCACTCTGGACCCAGGGCCCTCAAGACTGGCACAGACAGACAGTGATGCCAGGGATCTCCCCACACTGTGAAAGGTCACGAAGGGGACCCAGTTTGGTGAGTTGAGGGAGGAAGGCCATAGCCCTCAAGACATGATCCTGTGCTTGCAGCTCCTCTACCTTCATTTGGCACCACATTTCCTGACTTTCTCCACCTGGTATATCATGACACCCCCAAGCATCCACTTGTTTAGGGAGAATGTGGGTGACAAAGAAGAGCAACTGGAAAGTGGCCAGATCTGATGCCTACAGCCCAGAGTTGCTCTTCAGAGAAGCTGGGGCTGATTTCACTTTTAGTCCCCCTATTCTAGACAGTGGAAGTCATGGGGTGTGCTGGGGGCTCTGCAGTGCACCCAGTCCCTAAAGGAACCATCTGCTGATTCCAAGCACGTCCAAGTTCCAGGATAGCAGATTGGATTCTCTAGCAGAGCCAATGACACTGTGCTGGGGGTAGGGGGAGCTCTTACCTGGAGGACAGCCAATGCCCAGGGAAAGCCACCTCTGTTGGAATAGAAAGAAAGGGTATACGGAGGCAGTGTAGTGTGTGAGCAACGTTGTGAACAGGAGTGTGAGGGAAAAGTGAGTGAGCATTAGTGTGGAAAGTAACTGTCTAAGTACCCATGTGTGAATACCTGTGTGTGTGTGTGTGTGTGTGTGTGTGTGTGTGTGTGTGTGTGTGTGAGAGAGAGAGAGAGAGAGAGAGAGAGAGAGAGAGAGAGAGAGAG